TATTTAATTCATAACATTACAACTAATGAAACTAAGAACAAACCACAAACATAAACACTTCACCAAAAGCTTCAAGAGTTCTAGACTCAAACAAAATAGTTGTCAACGTGTTATATTAGTTTTGTTTTGTACCCTTTTGTTCTGTTCATGTTTACTTTACTTTATCTGCCTATTAATTTCCACACTGTTAGATGCCTAGGCCTAGGAATAAAGTTAGATCACTAATTTACCACACAAGGCTGTAAACCTTTTTGTTTCACGGACACTGAGCTTCTTTTTAGTGTACTCCTGACCTTACACACCGTACAAATGCCCGCAGTTACCTCAACTCTTGGCTTCACACCTTCGGCCTTCGGTGATGGTCTGCGCCTGCTACTGATAGAGCATTGTCGGGGCGGCGTATAATATCCTTACTCTTATCTAAACTTTCACAAGAATACTCTTAAGGGAGATTAATGAAACAATAATTCAAGCACACGATCCGTTAAGTGTATTCTGAGTGCGGCTCGGCACGGGGGCGGTCAGTGGTTGTTGGTAACGTGGTTATGGGGCAGCGGCGGCTGGGGGCGATTGTCCACCGGCGGTGAGGGCGCTGTTCGAACCGAGGAAGCCTGCGGCAAGAGCGCCTCCGCTGACGCGGTACGCAGCTCCTGACGGTACCATCCTGCTTCTCACCGAGAACGGCACGAGGCTGATGACACGTGCCGCCGCTGCAAGCCTGCTTCGCGCTGCCCTCCTCTCCCCGCGCCCCCCTCGGCCCCGTCACGGTAATCCGCCGCCGCACCTCTCTCTATGTGTCTATCGGATTCCGTCGCCTCTTGCACTGCACGCTTCGCTATGCTTCGTAAGGTAGGAGCGCAAGTGAACCACTGCAGTCCATTCGTCGAATCATTGTGCAATATCGCTTTTACAAAGTCTAGGTGTATACGAGGCGGGTAGAGTATGAATTCACAAAAACTTCGTCTAAAAAGTAATTTTCCTTAATCATCGTAATCGACACATCATATAGATTAAGTTGTCACAAATATTGTTTCATGAAGTTTAGTAGTAGGTAATTATGAGAACCATTGTTATATAGAATAGGTATTTAAAAACGGAATGAGTTTTATACATTGTCCCCAAAATAAAATCCAGTTAGTCTGATACATTTAAATAAAAGACAAATGTAGTGAAATATTATTGCTCTCAAGAAAAATCAATCCGCTCCTACTTTATGCCCGCATGCTTTCGGTACTGCTACTTTCCTTTATTCCTTAATTTTTAAACCATTTTAGACTTTCAACTGGATGGAATGAGCCAATTAATCCAATTAACGCGTCCGCTTTGAGAGTCTAATTTGTGTTTCCAGACTTTAGTATCAGCATGTTGCATGTCTGCATCTCCTATTTCTACGATCTCTATGGTTACTGCGCGGCATAGATTTGCTTTGACGACAGTTCTATAAAGTCGTAAAGAGCTTTGCTAATATATCCAAAATTTGAACGTTCGTGGTTTTAATTTTTGTCCTTTGTATCATACGTTTTGGATATCGTTGTTTGTTTGTCGTTTTTGATTTAGTAGGGTTTTTTATATGTCAGACCGGCCCTACGCGATCGCCTTAGTCATTAGAGTCTCGCGGTATGGCTCGGTCAACGCTTACCCCAGCTAAGCGAATCGGGTTCAATTCCAGTAAAGCTGATGTCGGACGGACGAAACGCAAATCGGAACGCAACAGGCGTGACGTCATGGATTGGCGGTATGTCGATTACCCAAGATGGCAACCTAATCGCCCCGGACAAAATTATGAGTCACGTACACCGATACGCGAGCCCGCACTACAAACCTCATGGGCATTACCATCGGTGGACCCATGAGCCAGGGGGGAGCGAAGACCCACTTTACGCAACCAAGACTGTCTACGGACCAGGATATATTGATGAAAACCGTATGTATTACGTTCACTGATAGAGAACTAGACTAGTATAAGGAGAGTAGCCGACGGTATTGTTATGATTACAATGAGGTACACTTACAAATACTTAACCATAGATATCGTAACAACATTTAGCGAAGTTTGTACAGTTAGAACATCATCAACACGGACTGGCACAGGAACTCATGTCATTACCACCATTCCTGAACCTGATTAGTCTTGTAGATGTAAGGTAGAAAGGGTAAAGCTTTGCGTAGAACTAAAACCATAGAGCAAGTCAGACCAAGTACGACTGTATACAAGTGCTTCTAAAACAACTCCGCGAAGCTTTGCAACAATCCTAGCTCCTCATGGATAAAGATTCTTCCCCTTTAAATATAAGTCCGGTAAGTTAAAAGGTATTAAAATGATTGACGGCAACACATAAGCATGGTATATCGAGTTTTGCTTGCAATCAAAAGATTTTTCACATGATCATGAGCAAATCATATAACACGATTTCATGATTCCACCAATTTATAAATTTTAAACAAAATTACCTATCGCATGTAGTAATGTTTGAACACTATATTATATTTATATTATTTATATCACCTGATCCAAATATTTATTTTAACCGTATTTTCGTTACTATAAGTAATTATTTTGACGACATTATAATTTCTCCCAAATATCAACATGTATGGCACAGCACACAAAATCTTTAATCACACACTATTACGGATAATAGATAAATATAGGTAATAAACACTAAATATAAGTTAAAATAAGAAAGCCTAGCGTAAGATAAAATAAGCGGTTAAAGCAACGACACGAGACGTTGTGCTTACTAAACCATGTAATACACCTACAGAGCGAATTGGGAAGGAAAACGGTAAAGCAGGTGATGATAAGGCGGCTCTCCAATCAACATGTCACACAGCCCTGGACACTTGTATTAAGGACACCGAGTGTGTGGCAGCCCTAACGCCGGTACTGCAGAAGTGCCATTCTACCGATTGTGATCGGGAAGGGTGCATGGGAGCTTTAAGGCACTTCTACCGCAAGCCTGGAGTGCATTGGAATACAGAAATTGCATTTTGTTTGTGCAAGTAAGTTTATATACATTTCGTCAGCCTATGTAATTTTAAATGCGTAAACAGTGGTACGGTTCAGCTTATCTAATTAGAATAGTAATATTGACAAATTTATAGTGAAAACCAAGTTAATGTAAAAATACATTAAACTTTACTACAACTGTTAGTTTTTTAACTAAAGTAAAATCTTAGTCTATGTTCAGATGTCGTTGACCTACACTTTACTATTACTTTAATTTTTAATACTTAACGTGACAAAAAGTTCCCATAAAATGAACTAAGGCTACAAAAAATACACATTTAATTTTTAATTTCAGAGCCTCTACGCATGGATGCATACGCATCTATCTATTAGTTTGAATTGTTGTGTTAGTTTGTATTTTATATTAGGTTTCCCCACCTACTTAAAAAAACAATTAAGGCAATACATAAAACTCAAAACTCAAAATATCTTTATTCATATAGGTAAACAAGTACACTTATGAATTGTCAGAAAGAAGTGAAATTAATTGTAAATTTACATTTACTACCAGTTCGCAAGTCAAGGGCGTAGAGCGGCTAAGAAGAACTGGCAAAAAACTTCCCCACTCTTTGTAATCGCCATTGTATTGTATATTAGAGTTACACCGTTCTCTAGATATACTATAGTCATAACACACAATGGTAACTTAAGTGCGACAGTTAAACACTTAGCGATATGCGTCAATCAATATCAAAGTTTCACATATATGTACTAAGTTCAAGATTTTCTTGCGAAAACTAATTAAATCGAACTGATATTTACCCTTAAGAAGTTGGTAGAAGTTTGTATGTTATTGGCGAAGTAAGTGGTCAAACAATGTGATTGAATAACTTTTTGATTAATATTATTGAATCTGTATTGACTTACGGGGAATAAAGCTTACAAAGTTTTACCTTTCGTCTTGAGACTTAGCTTTTCGTTAGACTGCAGATAACGCAGGCCATAACTTTGTCTAGAAGAGAGAGATAAACTTACGTACTTTATAATTATAAGATTCTAAACTCATTGAATGAAATTCGAACAGTAAAGACAAGTGTAACCTAACAATCTTACTTCTGATATTCTAGAATCTTTAACTAAACACGAAAAGGTTCAAGTATATGACTGCCAATGAAACTGTGTGCCCCCGTATTTCACAATTCATATTTTGAATAAATAAATAAATAAAATTATGGCGAAAGCTTTAAATTTGTTTACAGCAAAGTATGTGAAACTTTACACAACTTGATCGCTGTTACGCAAGCTCTCAGCAAACATGCTAACATTGTCCCCTCTGACATAGTGTCATCCTATTATCGAAAAATGTTATTATAAATATTACTGAAAAATCGATTTGATACAAAACCGTTTTTTTTCTAACAAAGGAATTTTGCCTAAATAAATTACAGATTACATATTGCTGGAGCGGCATCGTCTTTAATGCTGAAAATAAAGCGTTCCCAACGCGTCATTCTTAAGATATCCTATATGTAACCTTTTCGGTACTCAACTACAAAATTATACAATAAAACAACATTTTTAACGGTTAGACAACTATATTTAATGGAAATATGCAGACTTTATTGGAAAGAAACAACGACCACACCACAACATACACAACGCAAGCCTACATACTCGTATAAGCTGCGGTAGCGTGGCTAAGTTACCTAAAAAACGCACTTTTTTCTCCAACGCTTATTCTCCTAAAAAAAGTAAGTGTTTTAAATTTTCAAGTATGGTTACTATGCCAAATGAAAGGGCAAGCGGGGGGGGCTTTTTTTTTTTTTTATGTTTTCTTCCTTAATTGTCATTATTTCACATATTTTTTATTTTATAGGAAAACTGACAACAAAGAGGACTCTTGCATGAACGCCCAAGAGCGGCTTCATCCATCGTGTGCCCAGCGGCCCCCAGTCGGATCTCCGCTACCCGCCTGCCATACACTTGCCCATACCTGTCGCGAGGACCCTGAATGCAGGTAAGAACTACTATCTAATTCTATTGCAACTATACAAAGTGTCGTCTCAAGAAACTGTTTGTTATATGATAGAAAGTTAGCTCAAATTACTCATATTAAAAGCTTCATTATAACAATAGTAATTGAAGTGACGAGAGAGCCTGTACTCTTACTGTGCGTACATGTTACATTCGATGCTTTAGTATTTTAGGCAGTATTAAAACAAGATTTTACTTTGAGGCTTATTTAATATTTTAATTCTTGTGAGGCTGAAATAACTTGGAATTGAGCGTACATGCTATCTAACACATTGAAGGTTTAACGATTTTACTGTATTATATGGTAAGCCACCAAATACAATTTAGTTATAGTTTTTCAATCGCATCAAGTACGGATAAAAAAAATATTTAATTACATACAGTAGTTCGAAGTCCATAATGGCTTAGGAGAATCATATTAAATATTACCATTGCTAAAAAATGACGTAATTTAATAGATTCGATATTAGTGCTTACGGCATAGGCTTACGCTATTCTAGGTTCGAATTTTCTAGGTCACTAAATTTAGGTCTCTAAATCACAACGGCTGAGTTATAGGGGCTAATATCGTCTATAAATCTAGCAAAATTATGACAGTCTAAATGTATACTAAATATTTTTAAGAGCCTAATGCACCTGCATTAGCTAACATCATGACTATATTGGTAATGCATATGTGTATGAGAAAGTACTGTACATATTATATTACGTCCTTGAGCTAAATAACAATGAAACAGTGTCTGCCCTATTTAAGGCTAAGGGACTACGGGTAAACCATGCACTTAGTAGAAAAGTAATCGTTTTTCCATTCGATTTTCAAATTTCGAATGCATAATATCTTCGCGCTTTCTAAGAGATAAAAAACAATACCAGTAGTTTTAATAATTTTTTAACACATTTACACCAAAACAAAACTCTAGTTAATTTCGCTTAGCAATCGGAAATAGACGAGTATTCCAAATAGATTTGTCACACAGCTGGCACGAATGCAATCAGCGGTAATGGGATATATTCTGAAAGCTATATCCAATAGGCATGTTAACCGAATCGATTGACCGTGCGAATTTACCAAATTGAATAGGACGCATACAGTGTCTATCACTGTGAAAACTATGAATAAACAGAAATAGCAGGTATTTTAAGAATAAAAAGCGTAAAGACCAGGCACGCATTCATGACTTACTCGTATTTACTTTGACTTAATGTTCTACAACCCTTAGATGGGGCAGAAGGCGTCCACGGTGAGTCTTTATCGCGTTCGGTCTTGATCGCAGTCTTGAGCCTCGTATTAAACCTCGCCCCTAATCTTACCGGCTGTCTTTGCCTCTTCTGCAACTGTACAACGCCAGGTTTGCTTGGACCGTCCACTCTTTCGCTTTCCTTGCGGGTTCCAATCAAGCTGTGGGAATATGAGTGTATGGCCTATCATTTCTACTTGGCATTCATACGCTAGGTAATCTCTGCTTTTGTCAGAATATTACTTGCACAGAAATTAGATATTATTATGATAACTTAATTGTGATAATTTATACAAGGTAGTATTTTAGTCAGCCAATTTATTTTCTCTGATAAAATGACTAAAAGTTCTTAAAAGTTTTGACGTGTTTCATGGTTCTCTGACCTCGGCTAAGAGTAGAATTGGGACACAGTACCGATTAAATTCAGTTTAATACCAATAATAGTGTTTTAAAGTTTTAAATGTTGTTTGTATAATCACTGTTTTTTGCGCTTGAATTCGCTGGTCGCGTATTTTAGGTACTGCACCTGTTTTCAGATTTTTGTATGTACGTCAATTTGTTTGTTGTATCATACGTTTGTCCTAATTTTGTGGTCCAAATAAAAAAATAAGTTTTTTTTATGAAATAAAACAAACATACTTACACGGATGATTATATATAGCAGTAAATTTCTTCACAGTTTGTTGCATTCAAAAATCTCAGTATAGCAGCTCAAATAGCAGATGGTCATCCCTAATCGTGATCAACACTGCGTTTATATCACGTAGTTGAATAACGGTGAATACGTTTTTAAGCCAATTAGCTACGTTTCATTAGGACGTCTCTTGACAATTTGCCAAAGGATAATCCAATACAGTTGCAATACGTGAACGGTTTGATTTGTACAAATACTGGAATTTTATTTTGCTCTCTCAACGGCTTTCTTTCTTAAATGTATTTTAGAATAGCTAATTCTGACGTTGCGCTACATGTAAACTGCGTAAATTGTAATAATACACACGCACTCTGGTGCTCTGTAACTTTGAGTAGCGTAATTGCGACCCCAACTTCAATGTTGAGGTTATGTAACGCGCGAAACCAAAATTACACAGTATAGTGTAATTTTTACACTATACTGTGTAATTATATTAGGCTTTGGTAATCGCGTATTATATTGGAACGAAGTTGTGAAAGGGGGCTAGACGGAAAAAATTCTTACCCCCCCCTTTTTGTTTTGCTATTGTAATAACGGTTCTCGTGAACTGAAGTTAAGCAAGTGGGGGGGGTCGGTCTTTGTATGGGCTCCCGCCGGGGACCCCCCCGGGACGCGGCCTTTTTTTTTCGTCGTAAGATTGGTGTTGAGAAAATCTATCATACTGTTATGATACCAATTAACATATAAATTAATCGAAAGGAATTTCGTTCCATCCGGGTGTCCCTTGACACCTCTAAAGTTTTATTGTATAATAACTTTACAGTTTTATTTTTTAATTCTAATTATAGTTTTTTTTATTATAGTGGTATGGCTTTGGAAATAACATTTAAGGGTGTCAGTTAAAATATCTATAAATATATTTTTATATAACCTTTATATACATATATATGTATGTGTGTGTGTGTGTATATATGCACACGCACGCACACACTCCAGCAACAAAAAAAAATCATCATCAACATCGGTAGAGCGAGGTTTCAACACAAGTATCCTTTGATTACCTTGGAAGCCTTTCAAACTGACCTGTAAAGATTTGTTGTAATAAACTGAAAAAAAATCATATAAAAACATTTGGTAATTTAAGTTGACTGGTGTTTGCCAAAACGCGTCCATTATGAAGTTTTTTTCAAAAACTAAAGTCATTTAAATAAACAAAAGTTCGTGAATTACCTACAGGCCTACTACACACTTGACACTCAAAGAAACGTTTGATAACCTCAACGGATTTATAAAGAAAGTATGTCTCGTGTCAGCCTGTCGCGTGATTAAACAAACATGTGTAATACATTTTGAATAGTCCTTTGAAATATCGAACCTGCGACACCAACCAACAATTTGAGATATAAAGCTTTCCAACATTATCACGTCGAAGAACGATATAATAATAAAAACTTTCCTTTTAAAGGCTTGGTTTTTTCACTTGTAATCTCAGGCCTTAACACTTTAAATAATCTGTTGATTCTTATCACTCCTATAAATGTACAATTGGTCTTTGTAATACTATCTGTTCGGAGGTTACAGGAAGGTTACATTACATCTTTTGCCTTAAAGCATGTTTGAACCATAACGCATTTTCCGCCTCAAAACATCTTATGTGTACTAGGACTAAGCTGCGACTTAAGCGAGGATAAAAAGGTTGTACGACATTATTCCAGCATTTATCTGGCTGCAGGGGATTTTCGGTACGTTACACAAATTGCCGATTCATAACTAAGAATTTTAAGGGTTTAGGAATTGTCTTCGCATCTTTCTCGATAACGACTACTCCTACAGATTTCGTGAATACAAATCAAGCCTAAACCTACACTTATCCGATAGTACTTTGACGCCAATCTGATAATAATTTAAAGTTAGTCGGATATCTTCTGATATATTGAAGATTATTATGGTAGAACATTGAAGCTATTCCGAATGTAGGTAATAAAAAAAATTGTTTTATTATTAATTTAAACTACTATCGGATTCACTCTGCTTTCAATTCAGCAAAGCAATAAACTACAAGCTCCCACCTTTTCAGAATGCCAAATCATAAAATGACTGCTTCACGACTGATTTGAGAGCGATCGCCGATGCGAAAACCGCTGTGTAAGTTCGAAAAGTGAGTTACAGAATCGCAGGGCAGGCTACCTAAAACTAAAGTAAAGTAAAAAATCATTTAATCATATACGTAACATAATGTACACTTATGACTCGTCAGTAAAGAAATGCATATTAAAGGCTGATTTACACAGGGTCAGTAGACAAGTCAGTCGCAGCGCCAATGGGCGCCGCGACTGACTTTAACTGTTTACATGAAGTAAGTAGTAGTGGTGCGTTTCTCACGATGAGCACACGTGTGTGAAGTCAGTGGGAAAAATGAATTCGCGAAAACAACTGAAACGATGATTTAATTATTTGTTGAAAAATTTATCAATTTTGCTGTTGAATGAGTTAATAGAAATGGTAGAAATAAACTCATAGCATAGCATGAGATAACTAAATTAAAATTGAGCCATATTTTGCAACGCTGTTGACCGCATTTCTTTATTGCGGTAATTTAGGGATTTAATATCCCAAAAGCACTCGTTTTCGCCATATAATTGCACCAATTTTAAGGTTTCGTCTTCGCTAAGCTTCATTTTTATCGCCAGCGAAAAAAACGTGGTCACTCTACAACACAGCGGCAGTGACTAAACACGCACTGACTAGTCTGTTTACACGGGGATTATTTGGCTGGCGCGGGGGTGCGCGGGTGGCGGGGGGCGCCAACTGACTTCAAGCCACTGTACTGACTTCAAATCAGTTTACACAGGGTTTTTTTCGGGTCAGCACTGACTTGCCTCGAATTTGTAGTCAGTTACTGACCCTGTGTAAATCAGCTCTAATGCTTCTAATTTTACATTTACTGCCAGTTCTCAAATCAAGGGCGTAGAACGGAAGAGAAGAACTGGCAATAAATTCTCCGCCACTCTTTTTAATCGCCATTTTTTTTACACAACGTTTGTAAGTGTACTAAGTCCTAGTATGTAAGAACGTATGCCTTTCACTAACATAAACGTTAAATGCATCAGAGACACTATGTCAGTCATTTAAAGTTAGCCTGAGAAAAGTGTAAAGTGTATTTGGAATATTGCACAATTGTTAGTTTGAAAAAAAAATCTGAAGTAATCCAATACTAGATAAATAGTATGCCTTTGCTAACATTAAATTTGTAGGAATCAGTGATACTATAATTACGTAATAGAGCAATAAAGCAATTTCAATTCAAACATTCACTGCGAAAATGAATGCTGAATTTCCGTGCAGATACGATCTCTGTTATTTATTCGTTACATTTTGTTTGTTTTAATCATCGTAATTTGTTTTGATAATTAAATTGGAAGTGGAGCTTTGTTTTTATATTAACAATTTTATGTGGTAGTGAGTTGTATTTAGCACATTGTATAAATTTTAAGTCTAAACGTATGTTTAGAATCTTTAATTTCTGGGTGATTTTTGTAATACAACGATTGTACCTTATAAGCGTAGTAATATTTCGTTTGTGTTACCATACATAAATCGTAAATTCCCAGAAAAAAATACCTGAAGATTACCTATAAAGCATGTATAAGCATTATTTTTTTTATTTTTTTTAGAACATGCCGGTTTTCTGTCCGTGTCTGCCTTCACTGTAGGAGGAAGTACTAATGGCGCACATGGAAATAAATATTAATTCGTGCACAACCGTGATTCCAACGCATTACCTACATTGACAGTCGCAGCCTATTCGAGTCGAGTCTATCTTTATTTATTTTGAAATTGTATTTCAGTTTTCACATAGAATTCCATGTATAAATATTAACTATACAGGATTTAGACAAATAATAATTTACTTTGATTCCATCCAGAATGCGTCTGGAGAACTACGAACAATGGTGTGCGGTGGATGCCGTGACTCAGGGATGCGCCGGATCTCCAGCCGCTTGCCGCGCTGCCGTGGTAGCTGTTCTTGGTACTCAGCTAAGAGCCGCCTGCGCATGTCGTGGGACTGATTTCGCACAACTGTATGACTGTCTCGGTTGGCAGAGACTTCTGTGGCTTAATCCCTGTGTTGGTAAGTGCGGATAGAAGCACTATGTTGTTATTCGTTATAATAAAGGTTGCTGAACATTTCCCCCAACCTAAAAGGGGGATCGCAACCAGTCAAACCTATGACTGGCCTCTCCCCGAAGACTCCAGTAAATAAATTCGTTAGCGCGTTTCAGGGTATGCCTTCATCGCAGTGATTCGTAGCCATAGATAGTAGGTGTCGATACAGTACTCCTCCCTGAAGTCCGGAGCTGTTTAAAAGAGGGTGTTTCTTTCCAGTGCCAGGTTGTCTGAGATTCCAGTGAATTCGAACCGGTTATCGCGTAATTTGCAGTGGGTCGGAGCTGTGTGCGATGAAACTGCATGTTACTTCAGTGTTTTGTTCCGATCGTGGTTGAGGATGCTGACTAGACATGCGTGCTCGCTGCGTGCTAGTGGACAGGTGAATCCACTGGCTGGCTGTGACTTCCTACTGTTGTTGATTGAAGAAGGAAGGAGTGATGACGTCATACTTCCTAGTGTTCAGAAGTGGGGTGTTCTTCAGCAAGGTCACCAGTGCAGAGAAAGGACGTCATTGCAGTTATTTGTAGCTAAAGCTTATTTTTGTTGCTACAAACATTTACCTTCTGTAGAACATACCAACAAAAGCAATTAAGTAACAATTATGTAAATGATATTACGTGGCATAATTACCTTTTATTTTTATCAACTTCTATGACCTAAAACTTCATAGTAACAATTTACAATTGTTAACAAATTCATTTTGTTTGTTTTTGTTAACAGATATATAAACATTAAGCTGTTCCCTGCCACACTGCAACATTTTTATAAATATAGATATATAAATATGTATCAGTTTCCGCACGAATTTCCTTTACCACAGGCATTAATTAATTAACACTATGCAGTAATTAATCAATATATTGCAGTTGAATCTCAAAGCGACTACCACGTGAAAACCTATGGCCCTCTGCTAACAACAACTCCCTATGACAATGGAATCCGATACATAACGGTTGCACCGGAACCTGCGATTCACCACCGCACAACAACCCACCACCATCGTCACACGACTCAGCATGGCACTTCGGAACATGTACCGAAGCCTGAAGTACTACAAGTAATTGTTATTCAATAGTATTTTATAAAAATACGTAGTATAGTTTCTACAATTTATTTCACTTGCTAACCATGATGGTTGCGCTCGAAACATGGATTTTTGGTAATAATGTAACAAATTCGTTGAGTTTTTAAAGAAGATTGTATGTGTATTGGAAGAGACAATAACATTTTTTTATTAGTAAATAGAATGAAAGATAAACAGAGAATCAGGAACATATGAAATCTATAGTTTTATTTGTTTAATAAGATTAAAACATACTTAATACAAAAAATTGCGCTTTGGGGGCTTAGTTTTTAAAACTTATTATTATATAGTACTACTCGTTGCATTAATCATACTTCCAGAAATTGAAATAAATATTTAAGTACATATTATACCTAACCCAATCGTCAATATATACGTATGTATAATTATTGAACAATAATACTTATAATTTTTTTAGAAATCCCGCGAAGAGCCAAGCCCAATTACAACAATGTCAGAGCAAACTGTTGGTCCAAACGAAATATCTCAGATCTCCGAACCTGCCGCAACATCTACGACCTCCACAACAACTAGTACTACTACAACAACAACCACTACAACCACAACAACAACAACCACAACAACCCCAAAACCAACAACGCTGGAGCCGGCGAAATATTGCGTTGTTAAGAAACCAGAGAGTGATGATAAAGAACAAATTATTCGTATGGGTGAAACTAGGCGGGTGAGTATACAAAAGTATGAAATAAACATTATACAATAATCATCCAATATATTTAAATTGTTTTCATGGTTTGTATTAACAAAAGAGATAGACTGGACCCTGACGAATGAGATGAAAGTGTGTTTTATAACTAACGCATACTTCCCTTGGTTAATGTCCGTCAGGACTTTATGTGGTTAATTTATTAAGAATGGGGTTACTCCAGTCCTTTCACAAAATCTAGAACAATTAAGAAATGTAAAATGTCTTTAAAATGGACTCACGCTTTGTGAGAAAGAATTAATTAAGTGATAATTACATAAAGAAATCAAAAACATTTTGGAAGAACATTTTTGCAATAAATTATTTTTTTGGGCAAGTTGTTTTGTTACATACACTAATTGTATATGTATATATCGTTCCCAGCTGTACCGGTCAGCAGAGCTGGCGGAGTGTACTGACCTATGCGTCTGCGAGGCTTCTCTCCAAGTATCGTGTAAGGTGGCTTGCGTCCCCCGTGCTCCATGTTCCTCCCGCCTGGCACATTACTCGCATGCCGCGCCAGCCTATCAGGCCTACCGAGGGCGATGTTACTGCTACTCAGGATCTTTCATCTGTATGCGGCCTAATCCAGGTAAAACAGTTTCATTTTAATACGTTATATTTTAGAAAATTTATTTATTACTTAATACATTTGACTTGGTACGCAACAATATAAAGTTTTTTTAAAGGTGAATTTCGACGTCCGTAGTATTCGCAAAATCGTTCCATTTTTAAAGCTAACAATTAATTTCAATTAAAAGTAGTCTCACAAAAATAATTAAGCTTGATTTTCTTAAAACCTTCAGTCTATAGTTATGGCAAGTACTTAATTTTACAGGTGAATACCGGCTTCCAGAAGGCGTATACCTTTTACTAGGCTTCAGTTCAGTAGATGAGTCATTGCTGCGACCGCACACGGGTCTTGGGGCTGAAGATGCTGTGAGGCTGCTTCAACAGTATATGCATCACGTCACTAGGGATCAGGTTAATTATATTTTTTTTCATTCCATCTAAGTCGTTGTCTAATAGAACCGTAATTTTATTTATTTTCTAGTAATAACGATTCTTATTTTTCTATAAATAAATTATTTGTGTATGTGTGTACTGTGAGCAAATTTTTTCATTAGCATAAATAAAATTCATGAATTAATTTCAGACTAACTGCACTCTGACTCTATTCAACATAAGTAACGAAAACGTGATCATATCCGCCAGTGTTCCTCAGAAGGAGCAAGAATCTCTTAAAGAGGCTGGTGAACCCTTACTTGACAAAGAAAAGGTAACATTTAAGTTTTTTTAAGTAAGTTTGAAAGCTCGTAATTCTTTTTAATCTCGTATTTCATAGTATTTATAGTTTAAGGTTTCAGTTCACAATTTTCTATTAAATACACATACAGCTCAAAGCTTTAAAGACTATAATAATTCTAACTTTTGAATTTAATATTTTTTAAATTTTATTATTAATATAATATTAAATTTTTCAGGAGGCCTGCATCGATGTCCTAAAGATAATCAAGGCTCGCATCAACACCCAGCACGAAGACATCTCCTCGCACTTGCTGCTTTCCATCTTCAAGATAGCTGAAGTAGACGTTGTGTACCCCACACCCCCCGCCTCCTCATCCCCCCACCTCACGCCAAGCAAAGTTTTATACACACTCTTTATATTAATCACTTTCCTACGCAACTTTAATTTTTATATATTTTTTAAAAATACCGTCAATTGTTTGTCGAATTTACACAACACTAGATTTAGGGGACGAATTTCTCGCGTTCTTTCAAAGATATATAAAGATTTTTTATCTATTTTGAAATGTTATAAAGAATTTATCGATGTAGAAAATGAATTCTCGCACGATGCACTCGCTTTAGACAAAGCACAAATCACAAATATATTTATAAGTTATATAAATATATATAGCGTTAAGATAACGAAACATATCGTAAAAGCTGTGAAAACAATATATACTTGTAAAATTGTTGCTGAAGCAATGAAACCTAAATATTTTTCTAGAGATGTGTATATTGGTGTTATTTCGATGCTTTTCGGTGAGTTCTTTTTGAAAATATCGCGTCCTTTTCTTATGGGATTGTGAAATCCGTTAGTTTAGCTAACTCTAGTAGTAGTATGAAGACTGAGATGAACTAAACATATCTTTATAGTTAAGTGTATTATGTTTATTTTCGACTAGAACTGGTGCTTGTAGGTGGATCTTAAGGCTGGGTTTTGTAAATAATATACTACGCCTTTTACACTATTAGAATTCTGTTCCAGCTCTGATAGTGACCGATGTTTTTTGATACATCTGAATATCAATAATCCGCTACGTTTAGTTTACTTTACATTAATTCACTACATCATATTTTTGTTGTTTTTCGTATTATGTGTCTACGGGCGACTCAATATACTATTTGAAAATAGTTAAGTTTAATTAACAAAATTCCTTAATTTATATCAGAAGTCGAGACCTACCTAACTAAAACCATCCTAATACGATTGATTATGTTTTACCTGTTATTAATATGATTATAATTCACTTGTATCAAAAATCACCATCGTATAATAAGGGTAGAAAGTTACATGCGCCTTTCCGTTAGTTAGGAGTTGTCAATGTTTGCACGATAGAACGCGTGTTTAGCAACTCTCATACAAAACCTTGCAACTGTCTAAAATCAATAGTGACTTGTCATTATTGACTCAATTCACCAAGTATCTATCCACCAATCTAATGTCGTCATCAAACGGCGTATCCCAACCGGCGTGTAACTGCTGTTGAAGATACGGAATGAGCCTGAACAGTTTCTTATTAACCTAACACGGCATCAATCAGTTACTTAAATTATGATATAAATATGTTGATATCGCAAATATATATAATGGTGTTTCGTGAATATTATTTAAAATATTGTTATTAAAGAAATGAAGAGAAATAACTAGAAAGGCAAGGCTAACAATGAAAAAGAACTAGGATTGAATATTAATATTATTATTTTTTTCATATTTTATCTATACGTTATTTATTGTCAATTGGAAGTTGCTAAATAACGTTTATAATGTTAGGTCACTTAGATATATTTCAGAAGCGAAATGGTAAAGAAGGAAGCTTTAATTTGGAGTAGATATAGATTCTTGTGTTCTAAACTAACCGTTAGACTTTGATGTACCGTCTATGTAATTTCTTTGCTTTATTGTAGGCGAGTCTATAGGTGTCATTCAAGTTCACTCGACATTACTTAACCTAACACGTAAAAAAAATTCAATCGTGAGAAGTATGAAAGTCTTTTAAATGCGTATTTTGTTTTATTAAACCTATGGACACTATAATTTATAGATTTGTATTTATTGCATTACTCTTAGAGTAGTCATAGGATAAACCCATAATATCAAGGCTACATAGACTCATGTTATAACAATCTAAATCTAAACGAAAAACCTTCGATTTGACTCGATTGTCAGAGATTTTTGAAAATGTATAAAAATATCTTCGGCCTTATATAACCTGTGTATTCTCTAAGAGTTCCGATATATTTGACGTTTTTTTCTAATATGAACTTGCGATATATTACGTAAATATCTTTTACAAATAGATTAATCTTTTATAGCTTAAATTTAAGCTGTTATGTTTATATTTAAATTAATTTTAGCACAAATATTAAAATTATATTTAAAATAATAATTTGAATATTAACATAATATTGTTTTACATATATATACGCAACTTGGTAAGATTATGTGCAAAAGATCATGTGCATGTCTTGCCAATTTATTTGCTAAGAACGAATGGTATGTACTCAAGGATACATGGTACTAACAAAATTATTAAAATCGCTTAGTTTTAGCGAAAACGAAACATATCAAGAAAGCTCAATTTTATACTTATAGTATAGACGAAACTGAGGCATATCATGTAGATTAGATTATAGAGAATTATAATAGATATAAAATAAAACTTTATATAAATATGTGCGTATTGTTTTGGAGAGCTTGGATTTCTAGGCAAAATTCGATGACAAGTCTGTCGACGCTGAGTGTCAAATTATTTATACGACCTAATGATTAAAAAATTAATAAACTTCAATAAAACATATCAAAAGCACAAAATAAGTTGTATACATTCTTAACACGATGTATACGGCTGACGCTCTGACGCGGCTGACTGTCGAAGCCGGAAGTGTGAAAATTAATCCCTTTCAGAAAAACTAAATAATTGAACTAAATTTAACGGATACAGACGAAAGTATTGTATTTAATCAGAAAACAACAACAGTGCAATTAGCCAAGTTTTTCTGAATGAAAATTTGACATGTGCGTAGAACAGCTTTCCTACATGTACTTGACAAGTTACACACTATATCCAAGCCCTCAGTTACTATTTTTATTTCCTAGATTTTGGATCTTAATCTATTTGAAGTGCAACATTTAGGATATCATTCTAGTACTAGAATTAAGCTACGCACTATCTTTTCCTTGACATCCAAGAAACGCCTGTACATTTCAAATAGGTTAAGTAATATTATGTAGATTAGGGAGTTCTTAGATTAAGTAATATAACATCCGTTATTTTTTACTATCAATTGTTAAAATTAAAGGTTTGAAACTAAAGTGATGAAATTTCACAAAAGTAAATCCAAGAATTCCTCCCAAAAACAGCCTTCAACTTGTTTTAATTTAAGAATATTTGGCGCACGAAATGAATATATGTAAAGGGTTATAGTCAACGAGCTATTTGAAATCAGTATAGTTCCCGTACGGTTCCCTTACGATTTTGGGTGTCGGGAAAAGTACTGCTTATACTTCTAGTAGGTACATATTAGGACCTAATAACAACTACTGCGCTAAAGACTCTTGTAATACTAGGCTCGTTACAAATTGACTTTCCCACCCTTTACAAAACATAACCCGAATAAAATAAAGAGCACAGCTCATGTAAATAAAAAGCAATATACGATAAATATTTTCTAAAATATTTAATTTTCAAAATAATTATTTACATTGCACTGCACCTGCATAAATATTTATATAAAATGTTATTTATCAACATACATATTATCAATATTTCGAAATAGTTATAAGAAATAAGTATTTTATATTAAGTAATTTTCTTATTTTAACTGCAATATTCTTTTGAATCACTATTTATACTATGTATTAAACGTTTAGAATGTTTCGTCATATATGAAATAATTGACTTTTTAAATGTTTAGCCGCCATTTTTTCTTTCTATTTTCTTGTGTTGGTACGCTTATGTTAATAATAGTTCTGTTAAGAATACTTGTTGTGTGTTAGATTTTGATGTTGACAACTAGTTCAATGTATAGTAATTTATAGATTAGATTTAATATCGATATGGGATTTATCGTCTTCATTTGATAACCCAAAATTTAATTGTACTGTAACATTATGTATGGTTTCTTTGTTCAAAATAGAACGTATGTGATGGAAATATTTGATTTGTCTTTGAAATTGTCTATTATAATTTGTTCATCTTTAGGAAATTTGTATTTAATCCCTAATCGACATTAAAGAGTAATAAATCAATTGTGAATACCCAGCACTGTAGTGATATGCGTAACTGAGCTTCTAAGAAATAATATTGTTTTCTATGTACACTATTATATTATTTAATATTTATCCACTGTGCCCGAAGGCGGTTCTGTCGTTTTGTTGTAGCTAATAAAGTGATTCGTATATAATCGTGTTTTATTGATTAGTAAAAATGGAACAGTCTCAGTATACATAATTCCTTTTTTTATCAGGGATCGAAATATAGCAGGTCGTATCTCTCAGGGAAGACCCCCACCGGGAGTAGATTCTACAGTTCGCTAGTTCGCAAAATAAAATGCCTTGTGAAACGGACTGTGGAAGATTTCCAGCCATCAAGGTGATGTTGATGAAATATTGAATTAATACGGATCGTACGGTGTTGAAACGAGGCAGGGGGATCTCCCCAAACAATTCTTCAGAACACTCAACAGTACACTTTGCAGAAAACGCAGAGACGCAATGAAAGTAGAATAGAGAGAGAAAATCAAACCGATCAGTAATAGATTTGAGATTGACAATTCAACAAGTCCTTCGCTGAATTTAGTCAAAATGAAGAAGCTGGTATTTGGTAGCACCAGTCCAGAGATGTGAGCAGTAATCCATATGAGGTCGTACTTGAGTCTTGTAGATCATACGTCATATATTTACAATAACGTTGATTAAAATGCTACAGCGCCATCTTGTGTCGAGTAGAAAAAAGGTTTGTCAGTGGTATAACACCTATGGTTGTAAAAAACAATATTAATAATATTGTATGTAAAACATTGATATTTAATATTTTAAAGCGTGTTATAAGTGTGTACTCAAATTATAAAGTTATAAATTAGTTGGAGAAATGCTCATAAAATAATTATGGCTTCAGTGTGTATTACATCACTTAAATGTTTTGAACTCAAATAATTAACTTAAAACACGTAATACTTAACGGAAATCAGGTCATCGGTAATTAAAAAACCTTCCTTCTACATTCATCCAATTATAAATTTAGATAATTGAAGGTTTAGAAGCCCTGACGCTACTCAAGTGTAGGTCAATGTACGCCTGCTGCAATAGAGTCCCGACGACGTGAAAGAACACTACGATTCGAGAATTTTCGCGAATCTTCAGATATACTTAAACTCAGCTGTTGTATGATACTTAAAATGTTTTTTTTGTGTTTGCGTTTTAATTTAGGTGATATTGGTTGTGTTTTGCTGTAAACAAAAAATAACAATAACTTACCTACCATATAAATGCGTGGATATAATATATCAATATATTATAATTATATATCTTTCTCAAAAACTAATTAAAAGATTGAAAATAATTTGTCCGTTTCACTATTCCCTTAAATTCACGACAATTTTTTAGTATCCAAGAAGTTTGTAGACGAACGTACATACAATAAAATAGAGAGCTCGAACTCGTAATATAAAATTTAGAACTCGTGCTTACAAACCTAAATAAATTGGTGAGCAACATCCTTTTTGTAGTCGGTTAAAAATCGATTTACCTGTAAGTCAATGTTTCAGGTACAATGGCTATATGTAATAAAAATATTTTTTAAATTTTATAATAATGGATAGCAACATTTAAAATTAAAAAAAGTACGAAGCCACAACAACAGACCCAAAATAAAAACAAATATCTATACCCAACTAAAAACAATTTTATTTATGATTAAAGAAATAATTCAATATTAAAGTTTAAAAAGAATTTAGAATTCTATTAGACCAACAAACCTTTTATTCTCATAAAATAAATAATTATTGTCTACTCATATTCCCAAAATATATATATTTAATATCGTTTGGACAGTTCTAAATTATATTATTTTTTACATTGTTAACGTACATATCATAGACAAATGTTACCTATTTATCTATGTATCTAGAATTGTACAATGTTTACAAATAAAAATGCTGAACGCGTCAGCTGTTGGATAAATTTCAAGAATTTTCGCGTACTTGCATGACTCATGCGATGTCCGATAGCAATTTAATACTAGATAGAAAGAGACAGTAAATAAAAGTTTCTCGAATATTCTACTCGACGCTAGATGGCAGCGAGAATTATATATAAGCGGCAATTGAGCGAAGCAACTTAAGTCAAATTGAAAAAGCGATCGACGTGAACGGTCCTGCGAACAAACGCGGTTTTCAGTGCGCTTTCCGAGGTTTTATTCAAGTGATTAATTTTATTCAAATTACAAGATGTCGCTTCTTCCACATGTATTCGGTTACGACTGGCCCCGCCGTCCAAGCAGATTGTTGGACCAGGATTTCGGCCTTGCTCTAACACCAGACGATATGTTAACGGTTGTGGCCGCTCCGCTGGTCTCTCAAGACTACTACCGCCCTTGGAGACAGCTTGCCGCTGCTGCACGAGACGTTGGCTCTAGCATCAAGGCCGATAAAGAAAAGTTCCAAGTCAGCCTAGACGTCCAGCATTTCTCCCCTGACGAAATAACCGTCAAGACGGCCGATGGTTTCATCGTGGTGGAAGGTAAACATGAGGAAAAGAAAGATGAACATGGATACATTTCCAGGCAATTCCTTCGCCGATATGCCTTACCTGATGGATGTCGACCTGAGTCTGTGGAATCTCGTCTCTCATCTGATGGCGTATTAACCGTCACCGCACCCAGGGTTCAGGATATTACAAAGAATGAGAGGCATGTTCCAATACAACAAACCGGTCCCGTTAAAAAGGAAATAAAGGATAATTCGAAGGAAGAAGAAAAGGAAGTGAATGGGAAAAAAGAATAGAGAATGTCACTTTATTTCAGTAATGTAAATCTCCCATAAATTTGTAATTTGGTTTACAACTAACAGTGATTTTTGAGACTGATTTATTTTAAATAAATATTTTGTTTTCTAATTAAGTTTTGTTTTTAGTTTTAGTTCCTCTAAGTTATCATTTATAAACACACATCTTATTGCTTCTTAATATTATCTTCTCATATAATTTTCATAAATAAGACGGTAACGTTATAGGGCAAATAAAACAACACTTATACATTAATAATTTCAATTTAGGCAATTTGTTTTAATACAATACAATTTCAATACCCAATATACATTTGAAATATATATTAACATTTAAGATTAATAATGCAATCACAATAAATGGGTAACATTTTCAGAAATACTTTAAAGTAATTATTACTATGAATATTACAAGCATATAATAATTGACAGGTTTAGAAGCAACACAATAAGCTGTAGGAAGTTAAGAAAATAGATTCGAATTCTCTGCACTAAACTTAAAATAAATCCATGATTTTCACACTATGTTCAAAGAAACAATAAAATTGTATAGAAACCATTTTTTTATTTTCAAATCTTCCCATACACATGTCAAAAGCAGTCACAGAATAACAAGATTATTACAAAACATTGCTTTTTTCCATGTAAAATTTCTTCTTAATTAGTACTTTTGCTTATTTATATTTCACATGACAGAGGAAATAGGTATACTAAATTACTAGGAGAGGTATACTAAATTACGATTCATGATTTTATCACTTTAAATTATTTTAAGTGAATATGTATTTCATTAACTATTTTTCACAAAACTCACACTTCAATCACATTTCGGTGTTGCTTGAGATAAAACGAATTTGTCTCATTAATTTATTTTCAGATTGAGGACATTTAGACTTGTAATAAAAGAATGTCAAAAGAAAAAAGGACCGTAACGACACTTTAGTACAAAACGCGATCAAAGCCCAATATAACATGTATTTATATTCGTGTCACAACGGAGTCAGACGTTTAAAACGTAGTCTAAAGATAGTTTGATACCGCGTTTGTTACCATGGTTACCAATAATTTCTAATCTGAATTCACTATTATTAGCCAAAGACGCCACCACTAATGGCTATGCTAGGTGACGTAAATTTGAGAGTGCATTCAATAATCGGGATAATACGGGGTCAGTTTTAACATACAATAATTGTTTAGCGCCAACATTTTAGATTTGATAAAAAATAACTAATCTTTGGGTAGGATTTACAACCACACTTAAGAACATAAAATAATCCCCATTGTATATGTTAAAACTCTTAAGGCACTTAATTATGTTAATTATCACACTGTGCTTCATAATAAAGATAAAACGCACATATATTACATTGAATACGGTTAAACTATACAAACACCCTTACCGATGAAAATATTCAACTAGTAACATCTCAATAGAACGTCTACATAATATTTAAAAAATCTTACTCATAAAATCGTAAAGGTGACCTCAATTAACACATTTGTTATGGCAACATTCTGTATCATAAATACAATAAATGTATCAGATAGTCATCTATATCTTGTTTTAACATAACAACATAATCTTGTCTCTATCTAATAGGTTTTAACTAGTGCTTCCCAACCTATTTTGTGCCATGCCATAGTTCCTTAAATTCTTATGACAAATGGAAAATACATAATTTTTAATATCTAAAATTAGAATTGATAAGCAAAATAAATTTAGAAATTTATTTTAAGAAAGTTTTAGGAAGAAATTACTTGGAAATTGTTAACGAAACACAGTAAGTAGATTTTAAAACATATAGAAAAACTGAAATTACAAATAATATATTTTTTAAATATGCCATTTTCGAAAAGCCCCCCTTAACAATCAAATTGCCCCCCTGTGGGGCGTGGGCCTCTCTCACTCAGTTGGGAAACACTGGTTTAAATGGTTGTTCAGATTTTAATATTCAAAGCCATCGCAACTCTGAATTCGGTGGCTTAGTGAATTTTAAATACGGTTTCAGTTGAGAGGAGTTTATCGGTAAAGGGGTTATTATTAAATTAAAAAAAGATGAATAAGATCGGAAAGACGACAGTTTTGTACTACTTTGAACACTTCCTCAATATAGGAATTGAAGTTGAAAAAATTCTATAAAATATGCACCGTTTTAAAATACACTAAGTAATCAAAATAATAAAAATGCTTTTATAACTACGGTTCAATATAGTCAAATAATTTCAAAAAAAAATAATAAAATAAATAGTAAACTAATAAAAATACAATAACGGAATGTATTATTAATTTCCACCGCGACCAAAGTCGGCGGTTTAATGCTGAGCGTGTCCCCAAACACGACATGAATATTTTTCATCTACCCTCCCCTGAATTAATTCCTTCTACGTCATAATTAATAGATGTATGACCTTCTAAATAATCCATTTCAGACAACTGCCTCTTGATCATTAGATGTGGCGTTTTTCTCACTTGTCTTTCTTTTATACACTTCGGTAGTATTCGCCTCCTCTCCATTAAGTATTGAACTATAATTCGCTCAAAAAACAACGCTAATACAAGGTTAATCGCAGCAAGGGCCAAGACAACATACGCCATTAACAAATCTTTAGGCATTTGAAGTTCTAAAAAGTCAGACAACCACTGCGCAGGCGCAACCGTTATATAAATGCCTATACTTGTCATTAAAAGAATGCTAATCATTAACAGTTTATTAGTTACCACCGATCGCCTATACGGCGCTCCGTGACTGAATACAATCGCTAGAATTATATACTGAAACATTGATATCGTGAAAACCGCATAATTCTCCCAACACTTGTTCGCCTCTTCCCCTTCGTACGTATGCCTCACGTACCAGGGGAAGTACGTTAACGTCAAATAACTCAAATATTGTGCTACCATAATCAATAACATTTGGCCAATCAAGCTGACCAACGGAACTATTCCCAATAGGGACGTTAGAGGTGGCAACTTACTAAGTTTGCCCGTGTACGCTTCTGTCATGCCGAAGAAGAAAGCAAAGTTCACGATTAGAGCGACATCTATGTATAGAAACTGGAAATCTGTAAGATTCGCGTCGAAATAGTAGAGAAAGGCCACCGAGAGGAACTCTGTAAGGGAGTATGCGATCATGAATTTGAAAACGCCGAAGCTTGTGGTTAGGGCTGCTCGTCCTTCGCGTAAAACCCTGGAAACGCAGACAATGTCTGGATGTTGGGAAGTAAAGGGTGCAGCGACACTGGATTCTAGTTCAGATAGGGAAATGCCAGTATGCGCAGCGCGGAGGGCGCCACAATCGTTTGCTCCATCTCCGCACATGCCTGAAAAATTTTTAATACTGTGAGAATCAATTTATGTTTTTAAATAATCATAGAGTACGCAATAATTGACACTTGGCTTTCATACAAAATATGATGGTATGATATGATATGATAATATGATGGTGGACGTATACAAGACCACAGAAAATTAGCACATATAAAAACAATCAAAGCAACTTACTAGCATAAAATCAGTCAGAGTTTTTTTATATAATTTTTGTTGAAAATATATTGAAGTAATGTTTTATTAAACTATTTTAATGATCTCACCAACGTAATATCCTAAGGCTTGATAGTCTGTGATTAACTGCTGTTTCTGTTCGGGAGACATGCGGGCAAATACTGCACCTCGTTCCACCACTGGACCAACGCTTTCCGGGTGAAGAGCGCGGAGGGTCTGTAAAAGAAAAACAAATCATATGATTGACCTACGTACCACGCTACGCTCTATGCTCTAAAAACAAACAAAAAACGCAACAAAATTTGAATAAATGATTTTTTTTAGTTTTCTTTTAAAGGTATTTAAGTTTAAAGGTATATAAGGTCAGTATCAATCAGAAATTATAACATTTATTCCAGTAACAGAGTCAATAAAAAAATATTCTCAATTTAGTTCGGCAGAAAGAGAATGAATAAAATAGTTTACTGGTAATTTAACTGGTAGTTTAACCTTACCCTCCAAGCATCTCCGGTCATCACCAACTTGTAGCTGACACCTTGTGGTTCTTCTACATCTCTTCTCTTCCTTCTCCCACTCCTACTACTTTCTCCCCAAGATCCCACCCCGCTATCATCCATTTTGTACGAGCCTTCAAATGGGATCAAAGCTCCCATTGGGACCTGCAGGGTGACCATAACATTATTTTTTAACATTAATTTATTCCTTATAGTTAGTTAAGAGTAAGACTTACCCCTTGCAAACTACTCTGGCAGTATAAAGCTGGTTGTCCGCCCGACTGATGTACAGTGAGATGGACGACTCGTTCCGCACTCTCAAGTATACCACATTCCTTTGCTACGCTTACTGCTGTGTGGATATTATCACCTGAAATATCAAAGAATAATCTAAAAGTCCCAATTTTAAACGATTTATAAAAATATAAAGCTAAGTTCAAGTTCAATTTGTTTGAACGCGCTAATATGAGAAACGATTGATACGAATAAATAAAGTATTTTTGGTGGTATAGTTTATTTATCGAGGAAAGCTTTTCAATACAAACGGGAAAGCTCTTTCAAGTATTAAAATATTGCAAGGCGGGCGCAGGGCACAGTTTAAAAAAGCTATCGCAATTTCCTTACAAGCAGACAAATTTATGCTTAGCAGTGATAGCTCAAAATAAGAGTTGTGATGGTTGGAATAAATTTATTTAAATTCCAACCAATTTTTTAGTAAAACTTGGACAGTATTTAAGATCTTCGAGATTTGCGCCGTTTTCAGTTCATAAACTTCTTAATTATTAATTAATCTTGAATCTTCTGAAAATTATTGTTTTATAGCCTAGAATATTTATTACCTGTGATCATGACAACATGAATATTGGCGTCTTTGAGTTCTCGTATTATACCCGTCGTTGCCGGTTTGAGACGATTCTCCATTATGACTAGACCTAGGAACTCTAACTCACATTCTACCTAAAAAGTAATAAGATGGATCTTTTGGTAATACAAATAAGAATAATAATACTATTGTCTTTTATTGACATAACTTTTAGACATAGAAAAACACTTTTTTAACAGCTGTGATAGTTTTTGACATTCAACACCTTTTGTCTTCAGTCACCGTGACCACGCACGCTGTAGAGCACGCGAAAGGTCGGTAAAATTGAAAATTATGTAAAATAATTGTAAATTTATAATAAAACATAACTTCAAATCCGTCAAAAAAGTGTTTTTGTAATAATAATACTATCAAAATTATTATGTCGAATTAAAAGAACTCGTATAAAAACTAATAATAGTCAGGAACATCTCGAGGAAGATGACAGTATAAAGCAAAAGACAAAAGCCACGATGGTTTTTAATTGACCAATCCAGCGTTCGTCTTTTGTTTTACATTTTCAACTCCCCCATACAACGACATACTTAGAAGGCAACAGATTGAATTTTTTTTTTACAGAACAGCGAACGATCAGGAGGTTCACCTGATGTTCAGTGATCATTATGCATGAGAGCATTCCAGGTGGCTTTAAGAGCAGAGTGCGTTGCCGGCCTTTTAAGAATACGTACGCTCTTTTTTTTAGAGATTATAAATTAATTATATTAAATGCTAACCTCGTGCCTATCCATTTTCTGCAATTGTTTGTGAGTGACTTCAAGTAAACGTGTCGACATTGCAATCACCCGATACCCTTTCTCCGCATAGGAACTCAAAACTTCATTAAGATTCCCTGGAACTGAAATATTTTATTGTAATTATACATTTTATTACAAATATAATTACAATTTAATAATTGTAATTATATTTGTATAAGTTTAATATTTAAAAAATTCTCACCAGTCTCAGGTCTACACAGGGTTCTTAACATTTCTGGCGCACCCTTGCAATACACCCTAAGTACGTCTTCCCCCAGGAGTCGAACCACTACTGAAGACCGTTGTAGGGACGATACAAACTGATATTGTTGTACTATACCCACTTCTAGAGGCATCTGAAAATTTAAAAGAACATGGGCAAACGGGCAAGAGGCTCACCTTACGCTAAGTGATACGGCCGCCCTTTGGACACTCATACTGCGAAGTGCGTTGCCGACCTTTTTAGAATTTCGTATTTATTCGAAAGACATTCCTAAGAGGCTTACGTGATAGAACATAGAAGGAACGGAACGGTTGTTTCAAGACTTGTCAATAGCACCATTAAACGACATAAAAACATCAAAAACACTTACGTGTAAATCGTCAACATTGATATTTGCAGAACCTTTCGGTTTGACAATAGTGGGTGTCAAAACTTCATAGTTAGACAGCTCTGGTACATCTGGCTCTTCTAGTAACCAACCGGTTGATTCGAACATCTAGAAATTTTAAAAATATGCATGAGATTAATTTGATATTATTCATATTAAGACCAATTTAAAATGCACCTTAATACCAATATCTAATATAAGGATGTTATTACAATGCACAGTTTAACGGAGTAATGAAACAGTATTGCTTTTATGTATATATAAGTGAGGTGCGTTTAAAAAGCTTTTATAGGAAGGTATTTCACCTTCATAGACCCGATATTATAGTCGCTAACGCAGATTTTTATTTAAAAAAACACAAGGATTTGAAGAAGCTTAACAATTCGTGATTATATCGGTTTATAAACATTTTTCAAAGAGAATATTTTCACAGCTTAACACGTTTAAACACAGAGCAACAAACCTTCAGATCCAAGGGATCTCCAGCCAGCTCGCCATGCAACAACGTCAAGCTATGGCAGGAGGCCATACCAATCTTTAATTCGTGTATATCGTTTAATTTTTTGGGCTCCCTTTGTGCCCTTCCCAAAAGTGGGGGGGACGTCGCTGAACTCACAGCTACCACCCCCCACATATCTAGGCCTTCTTCTGTTAGTGTTCCTGTCTGGAAATAAAAAAATGTAAGTTAAGGTTTTATGAGTCATAAAACCAGGGCCTATCGAAATTATTATAAAAATGACATTTTTTAAATTATACTTCTTTAGGAGCGTTATGAAAAATTGATGCGAGTGAAATTTTATGAAGCGCGCGCACCGTGACACAAAATTAACAGAGTGAAGTTGCCCACGGAAGATGCTACGGCATTGGACATAATTTAAAAACAACATTCGAATAATAATAGAATTTATGTTACACTTAATGTAAGAGAATAATAATAAATACATATTTATTTATTTAATTTTTAAAATGTAAACTGAACTTTATTGACTATAATGACTCCTTTTCCAGTTTTGATTATTTAATTGTAATTAATTATTTGCATGCAATCAAAAACTATTTTTAATAATGCCAAAGAAGTATAACTTCTTACGCGCGTACATAAGTACACGCACCCTTTTTTTTCATTAATTCATACCTTATCAAAACAAATACAATCCAACGATCCACTGACGTTGACAGCCCTTGTATTAAGGCACGATATACGCGCGCGTTTCAATCTTGACACTGCATATAATCTGCCTACAGTCATTGCAGCAGGTAACGCCGGGGGTACAACTATTGTTATAATATCAAGCGCCTTTATCACTATGTCGCGGATTGTTAGCGACCTGTAAGCCTGAAATTTATTCCATAAATAATAGAATAAAGGTTTTGAATGAATTTGTGAATATCATTTCTAATGGCAACATAAATAAAATCGTACCTTCAACCCAACGGTATAAGCGAGTCCCAAAACAGCAATGCAGGCCAAAATAAATATAAACTTGTAAGAATCTCGGTCAAATTTGAAGTCAGCTGGTACAGGGTATAAAATACTGCGAACTAGCTGACCCTTACTTGTATTGTATCCGGTTCGAAGGACCAGGGCTCTGAAATACTCGGGTTACTATACAACCTGTACATTGGAAAATATATCGAAATCTTACAGTCGTAATCGTTTAGACTCACAGGTTTTAATTGCTCGTAAAACTTGTATACAATATTGTCTATGATTTATCGAGTAGTTCATATATTATAAGCGATAGTTGATTACATTATTTACATAGGTACTATGGTAATAGGTGGCGTTATTTTAGCAACATTTTTGCCAAATTTCAAATATTTATCTGTCAACTTGACGTTGCATCAACGAAATGTCAAGTTATCTAAACAATATAATAGATTTGCGTTAAAAGAAATTTATTTTAATATTTGTATACACTAATATAATATTAAAATAAGTCTATCTTTTTCCTATTAGGATATACTGATAAAAAATATATGTAACAAAGGAATGCTTTAATAAAACTCTTTAAAACGCAGAACTTACTTAACGGGTTCATTGTTATAATACCGCGTCTGCTCAACTTTAGTCCCACAAAATAGAAGGCTGGAACTGTGCTCTTTGACATCAAACTCTTTGTCTAAGTGTTGTAAAGCTGTTTTAGTTACAGGGACGGATTCACCTAAAAACATGGAAATATTTTTATTTTATTTTATACACAGTATAAGTACTGCCAGTATTTTTATTATTTGTTATTCGTTTTATATAAATATCAGGGGCTTGTTACGCAGCCGTATATCATAGAATCTGCAGCCGAGCGACCATTTTGTAAGTTACTGTAAGCTACTGTAATTACTGTAGCTGCGTCAGCATTTATTACGTGGAACCTCATTTTATGTTAAGCCTTCGCATTTTAATTCCTAACATCGGATTGTTTAGCCAAAATAATAAATTATTTTTATTTTTATTAATTTTTTTTTTAATGTAATTGCCTGAATTGACCTCATCTTTTAGATTTTTCATGCGGTATACATATTAAGCATTTTTACGTATGAGACGCGTAAATTATGACCATCGCTTTTTTTATATGTTCAAACTCAAACTCAAAATATCTTTATTCATATAGGTAAACAAGTACAATTATGAGCGCCAAAAAAAAATTGTAAATTAACATTTACTACCAGTTCGCAAGTCAAGGCCGTAGATCGAGCAAGAACTGGCAAGAAACTTTCCGCCACTCTTTCAAATCGCTGTTGGTACGGAAACAAGGGAGAATAATAATAACAGGACGCTTTTATTAATTCCTGGTCCAAGAAACTAACGGCATAAAATATACATTAAATAAATAGTTTAAACGTAAAAATAAACTTAATTGAACTTCACCTAAGAATAAAAAAGAATGCACTTAAATTGTTAAAATCCTTCAAGTTTTTTGACGCCGGTTAATAAATAATTCAGTTACTTACCAGTTAACATGCTCTCATTGACTATAGCAGACCCGGTAAGCAAAGCCAAGTCGCAGTGCAACATACAGCCGTGTGCCGACAATATTACCACATCTCCTGGTACTAAAGCCTTACTGTCCACGCGACGCCCGCCCCACAATTCTACTGTATCGTGAGCTTCTACTGTGGCACGGAGGCTTTGTTGATTCTTGAATAAAATATATTTATTTATGTCCACATCAAATATTATTGTTTTATATTTGTTATAAATAATATAGAATGTTACCAACCTTTTTAGTCTGTATAACAGAAGTGGCAACACCAAAAGTTGACATTAGCACTATAGCAAGGCAGTAGTAGTAGTATGGTTCAGCCAACCAGACGGCAATCGTGAATAATTGAAAGACATAGAACGGATTGAACACTTCCAGGAGGATGAGAGTCAGAATTGATTGTACGGGAACTTTGATTTCATTAAGCCCATAGGTGTTCAACCTGAAATGATTATGATAATTCGATTTTAGAATTTTCAACATAAAAAGTAACACAAAATACATAATAAATTCACTAACGTTGTATATGTACTAAAAAGGAATTAAGAAATACAATATATTTTAAATACCCTATGTATTAAAACTTTTGTCAGTGGCGTAACAATAGGGTGGCAGGGCTGGCAAAATGCCACGGGCCCCCGACCCAAGAGGGCCCCTGCCCAAGAGATATTATGTTCTATGGATCAATGTGAAGTCTCCTATACGCATTGGGCTAGCGTGGGGACTACAGACCATTCCTTCCTGCCTATGGCCTTTATTAGTGGGACATATTATACAACGTTGATTGAGTACGCTGAAAATCTCGAACTTTATTAAAATTAAACAGAGTAGACACGATTTTTACTGATAGGGCCCCATCAAAAGAATTTCCACGGGCCCCAGATGGTATAGTTACGGCACTGACTTTTGTTATGAAAATTAAAAAGCTATAAATTATCCAATCATTTTTAATTAAGATCTATGCATTGATTCATCAGAATGTTTCTTTTGATGTAAGTAATCAAAAAGCTTTAAAGATTGTATTTATTAACTATAGATTATGAATTGAAGTAGCTAAGATAAAACTTATAAACAAATTTTGTAATAGTTAAATATTTGATACCCACATTCGTAGTCTACGTTCAGAGCAAGGTGGTCTCGATGCCATGGCATGAATTTGGGAACAAGTAGTACCTCGTTCCAGACCAGCTAACCTAATCCACTGTGCTCGTATTGGCTCCCATATTAGACACTGCTTTTTGTGATTAAAGTAGTTGTATTGTTGGACATCTAAAATTTAAAAAAAAAATGCAGGTGAATGATAACATCCTTCGATTCTTTTTGCAGTCGATTTAGTTTTATTATTCTAAGGTTTTTATTGGTAAATACTTATTTGATAAATTACATGTGGAATTGATAACCTACTTTGATTCTTTTTGGAGTCGGTTAAAAATAGTTTTATTAATCTGAGGTTTTTATTGGCAAATTCTTATTTGATAATGTGAGGCATATAATAAAGACGCAGAAAGCTGAACATATAAAGAAAAATGTGCATGTTGCAAGATGTATAGTTAAAAATACTGTTAAAAAGGTATACGAAAGGTATATAATAATAAGTACCATTAGACGCACGCCTACGAATAATAATTATAGATCCATACTTGTTGATGTTGCAAAGGTCAAAGATCGGATTAAAAGACAAGTAAAAGCTACAGTAATTTCTATCAACAAAACCAAAATTACTCAATGGTTAAATACTCAAATTGCCTTAAGGATTAATTTATATTTTAAATACTTACTCATTGTACTCCCATCATCTAAATGTATAGGTGTATGTAATGTGTCTTCAATCTCAATAGGACTTTTCTCACTTTCATATTCCTCTTCGAATCCTGAATTCAATGTCCCACTACAAATTTATAGCATAACTTTAACAACATTCAAAATTATCAGGTCTTACCCTTTTCTTATTTTAATATCTATTTGCTTACCTAGGGTCATTTATATTTTTTATTAATATTCTGTGAATGTAATGACTTTTACATTTCTTTTGGTATGTTTCCTGTAAAAAGAAAGTCCAAGTGATAAGTAGAAGTTAGAACAAGAGAAAATCGCTAAACAATTGCTTTAAGTTAAAAGATAATATTTAAAAAATTCACAAATATATGTGTGGTTGTATAGTATAATATATAAAAACAAAAACCTTATTTTTTCTTTTTTACAAACCCCCCCCCCCCATAACTTTTTTTTTTTTTTATTTTTAAAATAAAAAAAAAAAAAAAAAATATTTTTTTTTTTTCTTTTTTTTTTTTTTTTTTTTTTAAAAAAAAAAAAAAATTTTTAATTTTTTTTTTTTATTTTAAAAATTTTTTTTTTAAATTTTTAAAAAAAAAATTTTTTTTTTTTTTTTTCCCCCCCATCTTTATTCTTTTTTTTCCCCCCCCCCCCCTTCCCCCCCCCCCCCCCCCCCCCCCCCCCCCCCCAAAAAAACAAAAAAAAACCCCCCCCCCCCCCCCCCCCCCCCCCCCAAAAAAAAAAAACCCCCCCCCAAAACCCCCCCCCCCCCCCATAACCCCCCCCCCCCCCCCAAAAAAAAAAAAAAAAATCCCCCCCCCCCCCCCCCCCAACCCCCCCCCCCCCCACAAAAAAATTCCCCCCCCCAAAAAATAAAAAAAAAAAAACCAAAAAACCCCCAAAAACCCCCCCCCCCCCCCACCCCTCACACCCCTCTTTTTAAAAAAAAATTTTTTTTAAATTTTTTTTCTTTTTTCCCCTAAAAAAAAACCCCCTTTTTCCACCACCCCCCCTCCAATTTTTTTTTTCTCCTTTTTTTTAAAAAAAAAACCCCCTTTGGAAAATCGGCGATTCGGAAAGTGGGAGTTTAAATAATTGGAGTTCTATAATACATAATTATATAGGGAATCGTAGTACCACTTGGTAACAAGGTTTTTGTATTTGCTGAAATGTATATTTTTTGTAAATTAGGTCTATGTATAATAAGCAACTGTAATTAATCAATCAAAAGTTAAAAGTGAGAAAAAAAGTGAATAAATCATCTTATCTAAGTTAATGAGATGTTAAGGAACTTACAATAACTAAAACTTGATCAGCCTCCTGGAAGTTGCTGCAAACAGATGTTGCATATAGCTTCAATCTGGGTACCCAATGAAATACCAAAAATGGTATACCACAAGTTAGAATTGAGAAAAGATATGTTACAAAAGTCCTCCATCTTGTTGTTCTGTAGCCATATACTAACTGTAATGAGACAGAAAATTGATTGTTGTATAATTTATTGATATTGTTACAGTAAAACGAATTCCTGTTTGAAGATTAATTAATAACCACATTTTTTGCTGTTAAATGAATTCTTCTGACAACAATTAATTGCCTGTATCTGCCCAAATAAAATTACTTAAATGTTAATAAGGTACATATTAAATGTGTTAAATATATATAGAAATGTTCAATTCTTAATTATAAAATGTTTTTCAAAATAAATTAAATATTAAATACGAGTTTCATTTTAAAACAATATATTTTTATGTTATTACATTCAATGGACCATTTGTCATTACCGAAGAGATAAGGCAGGCAATTTGCATGATAAAAGAGTATGTATTACAATAATTGTTTGTCTTATCGCTGACTAGGTATGCAACACATGATTATGGTTTTAACCATAAAAACCATAATTAATATTAAAATATTTTTTTCTATTAAATTTAAAATTCCATTATTATGTAACTAGCTATTGCCTGTGACTTCATCTGCACAAGATTAGTTCTTCAGACAAACTCCATCTTTACATTTATTTAAGAATCTTTTTGAGCATTTCTCTTCTGCCTCCTAATAAGTAAATAAGAATATTATATTTAGTTTAATTAGTACATTTTTAGTGTTACATGTAATTTTATGTTTGATTGTTAATTATTAATGGACTTCGTTTACTTCTACATTTTTATTCTTCCATTCAAGGGTTGCCTGTAAGAAATAGCTTGTTTGCAATAAGGCCTTTATATTTTATGTTTATTGTTACAAAGTGTAAATAAATAATAAAATGTCAAGTAGCATATTTTCTCTCTACAAAAATCTGCATTTTTGGTTGAATTTTTAATTACTTTTTAGAAATAATGGTACACATGATTTCTGCAGGAAACCAAAATGCGAAAGGGAGAAAATTAAAAGAATAAGACTTATGTGACACTTATTTTGACCAATTTACACAATATCTTTATAAATTACAGCTTTGTGTTAATCTAATGTATGAGACACTTTATTATAAACTTTCATTAAAATCTGTTTTGTTAGTTTTTGCATGAAAGTATATCCATCCATAGTAAAATTGCGTTTATAATATTAGTGGGATGGTGCGTTTTGTGATTCGAAAGTATAACATTATACCTGTTAACATTGTATTACAGAAAGAAAATAATATTCATTATATCAGAAACAACTTTAAAAATAAATTGTGCATCAGATTAACATTTATAATGTGTTTAAAATTCATTTTTTTTATCAATACAACAATATTTAAAAATTCACCATAAACCCTAACTTGAGAATTAGTATTATAAAAACTTAATATTATTATTACCTGTTCAAAATCAGGATCTACATTTAACCTTTGTTTATCATGCTCAAAGAAGAAATCTCTTCTTTCAATTGATCCATATTGAACTATAGGTTGAGTGTCATCAGGTGTCATAGTGAATTTTGGTAATTACATAAAACTATGTCTATTCTCAGTACATGTGTCTGCTCTTTTATTGAATTTTAATTGGCTTAAGGTTTGTTCACCTATGTTCTGACAGCATTATTTAGAAGCCTTAGAATATTGCCATCCAATTAATGTTCATGACTAATTATCACTTGAATGATATTTAAGAACCAATTGTAACATTGTGTTATCAATTAAAACTTAACTGTTTTTGTAATCAATTGGTTTACCAGTTAAACCTACAACTTTTTAAGAATGTTATAATATATTTGTTGTTGTTTGTGGTCTTTGTTTTGAAATCCCATTGTGAGAATTCTAAAGTAAAATAATACAAATGTTACATGAAAACAATCACTATAACTCACGGCTATTAAGTTATGATGCAAGGTACATCATAGTATATCTAATTTGTTAAATAGCTTAAAATCAAACTTTCTGATACCACTTTTCACTAAAAACAGAAACATTCAACATAGAGTTGATAATTGATATGAAACATCATAACAATTAATTAAGTATGAAATTTTCAAATAACATTACTATTTCAAAATTGAATCATTCGTTCACTGTTCCCAACTCATTGTATGACAATGATTGAAGATTGTCAACTGTCAATCTTATAGACTGAATGTTTAACCATAGCTAAAATATAGTTGTTAAGTTAGTTGACAAGATTTAAAAAACCATTTCAAATTATGTATAAGTGACTACTATAAAGGCCATAAAATACAAATCAAATAGTGAATGTAGAAATTGTTAATTCAGTTTAATAATTCGAATAAAAAAATCATAACTTTAAGAACCCGCCAAAATGTTTCTCTAGGCACCAGTCCCTGTACCGTGGTTGTAAACAGGTAAATAAAGGTAAAGACCACGACATTACTAGGAATAGACAGGCTTTGATATACGTATTATTCTTCTTATTATCATGCTACGTCATCATGGATACGACTAATCCTGATCGTATTATAGATTCTTGGATACATTATTAATGATTATTTTATTGCATAACGCTTTTTTTAAAGCAATGTTTTATAAAAAAAATGTAAAAATAGTAAGGTATTTATTAGGTATTGAACTATATTTTAGAGTACTACTACCTCCCTAATGTTAAGCAGTAGATTTGTTGACCCAGAAGTATAATGTTGAGGGTACATTTTCATCACTTTCTATTAAAATGTCGATCGTTGTAATAGTTAAAGAGCCGCATTGCGAGATGAGATTTATTTTTATACATACCATTTGACTGTCGTCGTAATTTAAGTATTGTTCCATACTTAAAGTCATTTTAATTTGTATTTCAAGACCGCATATGTCTGAAACATAATTGAAAAATATTACAAACTACCGCTAATTGACACTTAAAACTGCTCACTGGTATTTTTTCGGTAATTCAAAATGTATGATTTTGACATAAGGGAGTTTTAGTTCCTGGTTATCAAGATATAGAGACCCCCACACCAGCGTCTTCCGAGCGTCGTCGTCATGTCAGCGTCCGCACAGCGGACTGTTACAAATATGCTGAGTGTTACAAAAACACTACTGTATTGCGTGCTCAATTAACAAGGTACAGATACCGGCAACCATCTTGAACATTATACAAGGGAGTGGGGGAAAGTTTGCGCAGCGCGGGACGCAAACGTCAACTGATTTACCAATCACGCGATCGACACGTCATTCTCCCGCCACCCCCCTCCCAGTGATACCTAAAAATCGCTTCTGCGCAGGCAAGGACATTTGTTCAAGATGTTTGCCGGTATCTGTACCTACCTATTAATAGAAATTATGAACTTAACATTACCTAATATTAATATTGATTGAATTAATATTTTAGTAAGGTATATTCATTAATTACGGTATGGTTATAATTATATTGTTCTGGGGCCATTACTACCACAAAATAAATTGTGCGTGTACTAGGTGTACACACGTAAGAAGTGAAACTTCTTTATGATCTTATTTTTCGAAAAATGATCTACTATATTATGCAACTTTACAGAAATTCGTTAAATTAGATAAAGTTTAACAAAAGGCTTTTATTATCATAGACATGAATACAAATTTTCATTTTCCTTATTACTCGAAGATTATTATAGAATTTCATTAATTGTAATAGAATTATTACTATCATTGAAAAACGTGACGATTTGCTACAAAATTTCTCCCATACGTCGATAAAGAAGTTTCATTCCAACGCCGATAAAGAAGTTTGACTTCAAAAAGCAACATGGCGCGTAACCGAAAAATGTGACGCGTAACGAAAAAATGTTACACTAAATTTTTTTCCAACCTCGATAAAGAAGTTTCACTTCAATAACAATATAGCGTTGACAGTTTAATCTACATACGATGGTTACGCAGCGGCGCGGTGTACTTCACAGTTCATCTTACATATAGTATTTCTAGTCTGTGCACACAGTATTAAGTCTCGTTCGCTGTTCACTTTGTGATTCTCTTTCTCTTGACAGTTGCAAAACATTTAACAAAACACATTAGAAATTCGCAATTTGCATTAAATTACTTCCCAATTGTGTTTTTAGGTTATTGTAAATAAAAAGAAGAGAGCTGCGAAGATCTTGCGGTTTCAAAATATAAACTACATGCTTTTGTTTTTAGATACATAACCTTAATTGAAAGAGGTAGGTCAAAAACAATAGTAGATTGAACAAGATGTAACAAATTATATATTTTGAGTACTTAAAACTATGTTACATATTCTGACTATGTTTTCCTTATTTCAAAATCATCAATATGTGCGTAATATATATAGTTTTTTTATAAATAAAATTTTTAAGCAGACATTGAAACACATTTCATTAAAAAATTGCAGTTGCACTAATTATTATTTTTAATAATATTTTTTGAGACAAGACAGATGACTTTCTAATGTGATGTGAATAGAACTTTTCAAGCTTTTCCTCTTGTTCTAATCAAAAGTATTAATGTATTCCAAGAAGTTCAGTTTGTAAAAAATATTAACAGTAATTATTGTTTCAGATTTAATTGACAATGATCATTCCTGTGCGTTGCTTCACCTGTGGCAAAGTTATTGGCAATAAGTGGGAGGCTTACTTAGGTTTATTACAAGCTGAATATACTGAAGGGTATTGTTAGATTTTACGCTATTAATATTAACACAGTTACATTGCTAGACAGACATTCTAGGACATGACAGTTGTAGAGGCAATGGCGGCAAAAACTTCACAGCCTATACCTTGAAAATATGTAAATCCGCCACTGAGGATCATGTAGTATAGACTCAGTTTCCGCACTTAGACTTACATAATATGGTCTGTTGTATATTGTTGGATGATGTAAAACAGGCTGGACAATTCTTAAATTTTATAACATGAAAAGTCTGACTATATTTTAAATGATTAATAATAATGTATGTAATCACGATTTATATGAGTATGGTCTAACGCTAGTGATCCAATCATGAAATTTTTACATTAATTGAGGATTTGATATGAAACAATCATTGTTGACAGACATTTAAAATTATTAGATAAATTTATGAAATAATATTTGAAATTTACAACTACTACATTTTTGTTGGCTCTTTGTAGAGCAAACAGTATTCGCTGTACTCAAAGAAGACTAAAAAGTTTGTTTTAATAATAGTATTTTGAACTTTGACTATGAATATTTTTACTTTCTTAAACTGAGAATCACTAGCTTACTTAGCCACTGACGGATTTAATGAAAATTTAAAGTCGAGATAATGTTATACTATTATCAAAACGTAAACCTAGAAAATCACTTAATGGCCATTGTAAATGATAATATATTCCAGTTTTAAATTACATTCCTTTGTGGCAATTAGGAGATGTTTTTTATAAGAAATAATGTTAAGTGACAATAAAGTAAGTAGTTTTAAATATACTTTGTCTTGTATATAAATATATACATGAAACATTTTGGTTAATGTTTCTGTTTGTTTGTGCCATTAAAGCATCATCCATATGTATCACGTATTGCCATTTGAAAACACTGATTTTATAATTTCGAAAACAGATATTATACTTATACCCTTAGGCAGAATTAGGTTTCAACAATTCTTTGTTGAATTTTACATAAAAAAACCTTTTTTGTGAAACATGTCATTTTTTCCTCAAATATGCAATATATAATTACTTTAATTTTAACTTTCATTTAAACACTTAGTTTGTTTCTATTGTTAATAATTCTAGGAAGCAGTTCAGTTGTTTTGTAATTGTATAATTTTTAATCTTTATTACAGTGACGCGTTGGACGCCCTTGGTCTAAAGCGGTATTGCTGCAGAAGGATGTTACTGGGGCACGTGGATTTAATTGAGAAACTTCTTAACTACGCCCCTCTAGAGAAATAATTTGTGGGGAGCTATTTATAAACTATTTCCTAAGAAATCTGTATACTATAAGATATGTAATTTTAAATAAATTCTAAAACTTTACGTTTTCTTATATTTTACTGCTTTTAACATATACATATATCTTAAAAAGTATCAAATGTTTTTTCAAAATTTATATTCGAGCTTTAATATAACATTTGTCATGCATAGGATATGCCTAAACTTGATATTACCGTTATGTTAAATTTTATAGGGAATTGGGTATATCAATCACTTGTTTTGTTTCTTTTTTTCTAAAATTTTTGAATCATACCTTAAGGCTCCAAAAATAATAATTAAAAATTAACAAAACTCATAAGTAATTGTCTTTAGTTAATTGGTTCCATTGACACAAATTTCCGCAGTTGTAAAAGCTTGGCCATAAAAAATAAGTGGGCAAACAAGAAATAAAAAAGTACCTTCAAGAATAATCTGAGTTGCAACCTAGGTTATTCACCTCCGGTAACCACATAACATTAACACAACTGTTTTGCAATAATTAAATATACATAAATTACACGATGGTGGCAAATACAATATGCGTGTGTTGTAGTTCAATCTATTTTGTATATAATGTCAGTTTAATTACTAAAACGATTTCGGAAAGATACTGAC